TATCAGTGACACTAAATGGCACTCGGATGGTATTATTGCAAACAGTTGAACGAGGGGGTCTTTACTTTTACGCCATAAATCACTTTGGTGGTCTGATGAGATATAATGACCCTTTCTCAAAATAATGTTTAATATATATATATATATATTTGTTTTGTTTTAATGTTTAAAAAAAAAAATATATATATATATATTAGGATTACAAAGGAAATTAATGATAGTGATATGATAGGGTACAAAGAATCTGTAGTTAATATATTGTGATCATATATGCTTAACTGTGAAAGTTTACTTTTTAATGTGAAAAGCAATTTACATAATACACAATAATGGGAGAAATACTTAAAAAATATTGGTGAAATTAAGCAGATTCCCTTTAAGTATTTTCATATAAAGTGTCCTATTTATATTTTTAAAATATTTTTAATATAAAAATATCTTAATATTTATATTTTTTAAATAGTTAAGATTTCGAAAAATCAAATGCCTATTTCTACCTAAAGCGATAAGCTTGCATTTTAAAAAGAACTCTATTTTAAAAATTAATTAACTTGGACAGGATTTCTTGTCCTTTCTATCACATTGCGTAGATTTTATTATCTTCAAGGTTATCTTTATAGGGAGTTGGCCTGACCCATGTCTCTCCTTCTTCCCAGACTCTTTCGGCGTGGTCGGGAGTCCTGAGATAGTCGTGCTTCTACATGGCTTTCCCACATCCAGCTATGATTGGTACAAGGTAAGGAAATCAGACTTTCTAGGTCCCACTACGTCTTTAAAAGTCCAAAATCAAGGATTTTGTTACCAGCACTGAAAGGCTCTTGCATATTTGAATTGCTTAATAAGATAGGATTAAATGTAGAACTATTTTTCATTTACTGGGAGTAAATGAAAAGGGAGTAAAAAACCGTTTGGCAATCTGGGAGGGCTCATCCCCAAGTTAAAAATGCTGGAGTGCCTCCCTCAATAGAGATTGATTATTAGGAATAAAACACTTTGTAAGAGGATCATCTGCGGGCCTATGGTGGTTTCATGTGGGGTTTCCCTTTACTGAAGTCTGTTTGTTAAACTGAGAAAGAGATGAAACCCTTTCGCTGTTGTAGGTTGGAGGGGAGGGGCAGGATCAGAGACCAAATCATTCCTTTCTTTCTCGTAGATCTGGGAAGGTCTCACGCATCGGTTCCATCGAGTGATTGCCCTCGATTTCTTAGGCTTTGGCTTCAGCGACAAACCGGTAAGCAGCTTCTGGATGGGACCAGGGTTGAGGGACCGGCGGGTGCGATGGAGGGGTCAGGCCGGCAGACAGATCGGCACTCATGACTTCCTCCCGTGTGTCTGGGCTTCCTTCCCCTAGAGACCGCACCACTACTCCATCTTCGAGCAGGCCAGCATCGTGGAGGCGCTTTTGCAGCACCTGGGGCTTCAGAACCGCAGGGTCAACCTTCTGTCTCATGATTACGGAGACATCGTGGCTCAGGAGCTTCTCTATAGGTCAGTGAAGCCGTGTCACTCATTTAAGATGCCGGGGAAAGTCCATTGTTCCTGGGGTCTTTCTGGCCCTTTTGCCTTTCGGAAGTTTGTCTTCAGACGGTGTGTTGGCGCTTGCCCACTCACTCAGATGCATCTGCCTCCTGTTTCTAGGTTCAAGCAGAATCGCTCTGGTCGGCTGACCATAAAGAGTCTCTGTCTGTCCAATGGAGGTAATTGCCTGGGCAGTGGGCGGAAGGGGATGAGGGCCACATTTTGATATCAGTGACACTAAATGGCACTCGGATGGTATTATTGCAAACAGTTTAACGAGGGGGTCTTTACTTTTACGCCATAAATCACTTTGGTGGTCTGATGAGATATAATGACCCTTTCTCAAAATAATGTTTAATATATATATTTCAGTTAATAAAAAGCTGTGTTGTAATATGTGCTTTTTTAAAAAATTGATTTGACAGAAACATTAATTTGTTGTTTCACTCATTTATGCATTCATTGGTTGATTCTTGTATGTGACCCAATGGCGTACAGAGATGACGTTCTAACCAACTGAGCTACTCCGCCAGGGCCTAGATGTGTGTGTGTTTTAAGGACCCACACTTCCTGAAGAATCCCTGGTTTCTTTTTCTGCCTCAGTCATGAACAACACTGTGTTCTGAGGCCTGGGGAGAAACACAAGGGGAGTCAGGCCTCGTCGTCAGCAGTATGGACGACCGTGTACATCATTTTCCCCATTTCTCTACCTTTACAATCTGAAAGTAATCCCAGTGGGATATACTTTCTTTGACCTGTTAAACCTAGAATTCCATGGGGAAGGAATTAGGATGACAATACTAATTTATTTATAATTAGTGTTTTAGCAGTGAAGGCCCCAAAGGTGACAGTGAGTAGGGTAGATAGTCTCCAATAAGGGACCGATGTTTGCCTTAAAGTTGCTGGAAAATGACTAACATAAGTCTCTTCTTTTCCTGCAGGTATATTTCCCGAGACTCACCACCCGCTCCTGCTCCATAAGGTTGGCTCCTCCACTGACTAGATCGTAGCTCTTTAGATTGATACTAATATAAACAATGCTGGGACCTTCGTAAGGGCCATTTCTCTTGTAAAAGGCCGCAGATAAAATCCTTCTCATCAGTTTACATTAGAAGTTAGTTTTTCCCTTCTTATGAAAAGATGAGAATTAGAGATCAAAGGTATTTGGAGAAATACAGTATCTCAAAGATTTGTGTCATCAGCATGATGGTTGACAAATTGGGACCTCAGTCTGAAGTTGAAGATATCAAACGTCTTAGGGATTTAGTGACGTGCAGAAATGGAATCTTAAAGGGAATTAGAAGCAGTTTGTGGGAATTAGAATGTGGGTTGGCAAAACAAAAAACTAAAAGCCAATGGCCAAGCCTTTCAGTAGGAGATTTGGCTAAAGTCTTTTTTTTTTTAAGTTCTTAGTATAAAACCCTTTGTCCTGATTGTGTTCTCTCTCTCTCTCTGGATTCTTGATTTTTACTTACTTACCTATAGATTCTCAAAGATGGAGGCCTGCTGTCACCCATCCTCACACGAATGCTGAACTTCTTTGTATTCTCTCGAGGGTAAGTCATTGTCAAAGACTGATTTCCTGCAGCTTGGGAACAAAGCTGCTGCCATTAAAATTCTGGGCCAAATCCTAGGGTTTGATATTTTAAAGCAAAGGTGTTGGTCACTTGCCAGGGAAGGAATAGAAGGAATTCATAAATCAGTTAAGGGTCAGACTACATGGTTTTGAGGTTCCAATCATATTTGACATTCTGAATTCTTCTTACACTTATCTTTCTGTTTTTTTTTTTTTTTTGATTCAGTCTTGTCCCCCCTGTCTTTGGGCCATACACCCGACCCTCAGAGAATGAGCTGTGGGACATGTGGGCAACGATACGCCACAATGATGGGAACTTAATTGTCGACAGGTAAGAAATAACCCTTCTGCTTTGGCTTCCCAAGAGGCTTTTTTTGGGGAATATGTGGGATTGCTTGTTTTGTTCTTGGCTGGCTGTACTGTCTCAGAAGAAGGTTGGTTATGACTTATGAGGTGCACCCAAAACAGTCATGCTCTGTACTCTCTCTGAGGAAAGAAATCCATCATAGGGTGAGCCCTGAGGCGAAGCAATGTGGCACACTGATTCAGTTGTAATTGCTGATTGGCTTTGGCAAATCCTTCTTCGGACATTTTGTTAATATTAAATGCTTCCACATGTCTAATCACAGTTATGACAGGCATTTCGTGCCTTCCTCCGAGTACCAGTCTCTTCCTTTTTCACATCTTTTCTGTAGCAACAGGGACTGGAGGGAGATTTCGTTGTCTTGTACCAAGACTTCCCACGCCTTGGTTCAGATACTGCTTTCACGGAGGGGCTAGAGGTGGTGATGCCCATAACTACTCGAGATAAGGCTGTCCTTTGACCAGCTAGGTCAGTGTAGCTTCCATGGCTTTAACTGATGGCTGTGCTGGGAATTGTGAGGGAGAGAGAGCCATTCTTCCCTCCTACCCCAATGGGATCCCAAAGATTTGTTTTACTATAAAAAATTGCAAAACAAAACCCTCTTTTAAAATTCCAATATACTTCTCCAAAATGTAAAAACCACTTACGAAACTCAACTATCACCTGTTAGAAATAATTCCTGGAGTTTCTAGGCAGAATAACAAGAATATATGAATTTGAGTTCTAAAATGTGGCTATGGCAGCTTGTCATTGTAGGAGAAATTCTCCATTTTATCTGTGGTCAGATGAAATGTAGAGAATGAAACTTTGTGCTTAGGAACTTCTACACTTAGAACATTAGAAGTAGATGTCAATTTAGCGATCGTGTAGTTCAGTTCTCTTATTTTTAAAGAGGAGGAAATGGGTCAAAAGATGTGTGTTAGACCTTTGAGTTACAGAACTAATTAGTGGTAGAGGCACCATCTGAAGCTGGACTTTCATTACACATAACCCAAGCTAACTCCCAGCCTTCCTACATCCCATTTCCTGTTTGACGAACACTAAGAAACATTAATTCTTACATTGGTTGTAGGCATGATGACTGCTGCAGCTACATGGAGGTTAACTGTAGAGGTTAACAGAAGTGAGTAAATTCAGCTGGCTAATCCCAGACGTGCCAAATTGCTCCTGGATTAAAACACATACTGGGTTCCTTGAGGCTCATGTCAGGCCTTTGCAGCCCTCTAACCATAAATGTTTCTTGTTCTCCTGCTAATTCACCTGTCCTATAGTCTCTTACAGTACATTAACCAGAGGAAGAAGTTTAGAAGACGCTGGGTGGGAGCTCTTGCCTCTGTAACTATTCCCAGTGAGTATTTCTATATTACATCTTGATAGGAAAACTGAGGGACTAGGGTTAAACTAATTGCCTGATTTAGCAAATAAAAATAAAATACACAAAACTAAATTTGAATTGCAGATAAACAAGTCCTTTTTTTTTAAGGAAAAGTATGTGCTGTGCAATACATGAGACATACTGATATGGAAAAAAAAAATCAGCCCAGCCAGTATGACTCAGTGGTTGAGTGTTGACCTTTCAGGGCACATGCCTGGGTTGCAGGCTCGGTCTCCAGTAGGGGGCGTACAGAAGGCAGCCAATCAATGATTCTCATCATTGATGTTGCTCTCTTCCTCTCTGAAATCAATAAAAATATATTCAAAAAAATCATTATCTGAAATGCAGCTGGTCATGCTTTATTTAATCTGGTGACCCTCTCCAACATGTGGAACATCGGTGCCATGGTGTAGAGTGAAATATATAAAGCACTGAGATACTATTGCTAAGGTAACTACTATAGCACGGCCTGGAGTGGGAGTTAGATTGGTTTCCTGCTGTGCATTGCCAGTGACTATCACATTAAATGCTGAATTCTGGGACAGAAGGCTGTTTGAATTACTAATCAAGAGCCTATAGGTGGTTCTGCTCATTCACCTCTTAATACTTACACATTTAAAAAGAAAAAAAGTCAGTGCTGTGTCTCACATATAAAAACAGTGTTCAAAAACCGGTGGATTTCAAATGTCAGGGGTCATTTATTGCTAAGAGAGAGACTTTAAGAATGACAATATCCTGGAGTTAGGGGGAGAGAATGCTGCTCAGGGCTGAATGGCCGGCTGTGTACAGAGAAAATGTCCCAAATGGACTCAGTTGTCAGCTTATCTCCAGAAATTTCTTATAACCTACTTATTGAAAGCAGCTAGATTTTTATCATAATTTTTTTAACGAAAATTTGTTCTGGAGGGGTAATTTTGGTCTGGGGGAGAACAGATGTGCAAGCTGTTAGTAATGAGTTCCTTTTCTCTTTCCCAGTTCATTTTATCTACGGGCCCTTTGACCCGGTGCATCCCTATCCGGAGTTTTTGGAGCTGTACAGGTGAGCCTCCCTCAGGGGCTTCGTATTGTTAGTTCCTCCTCCCGACAGTGCTCTGGCCTCAGTGGCTGTGCATCCAGGAAACGTATGATAAAGGATGAGCTGAGGAATCTTATTCTCACAAAAAGTCAGGAAATGGTTATACATTCTCTTGAGTTATACATATATATATGTATGTATAGTTGTTATACATTCTCTTGAATTACACACCTGTTTTTACTGTATATATACATATTCTACATATTCCTAGGTGGACAGGTAAGAAAACGCTATCATGTGAACTAAGGAATGGAACTGCGTAAAGTTGATAAAAAATGTTTGCTGTAGTCTCATTGCAAAGCTTCAGCTGGGCATCTGCAGGGAGATGGAGAGGAGCTCACAGGAATAGTGCCTCGTCACTGGTTGTCATTTTTTCTAGGTTAGTGATGGCAAACCTTTTGAGCTTGGTGTGTCAGCATTTTGAAAAACCCTAACTTAACTCTGATGCCGTGTCATATATAGAAATTTTTTGGTATTTGCAACCATAGTAAAACAAAGACTTATATTTTTGATATTTATTTTATATATTTAAATGCCATTTAACAAAGAAAAGAAAAATCAACCAAAAAAATGAGTTCGCATGTCACCTCTGACATGCATGTCATAGGTTCGCCATCACTGCTCTAGGTACTTACTCAGAAGGTTGGAATATGAAATCTTGACTGATTTTGTTCCATAAGAATGTTCCATCCTTCATATGGCCTAGTAGAAATGATCCAGTAGTAAATAGCTTGCATTTAATTTTCAACAAAATACCCTCTGTCATCTCCTCTTGCGGTTAAGGAAGGTCTTTTGTTATCCTTACCTGGACAGTGGTCCACTTATTTGATGCCTCACGCTTCTCTAAGGAGCTCGAAGTCACCCTGCTTTGACATGTATTGCAAGTGTTTTATTTTTAAGTTGTCTGTTGGATTATGAACATGTAAAACCTAGTCTGTATATGTCATAAATGGAATTGGCAAGCTTACCTGCCTAAGACACAATTCCAAAATAGAAGCTGAATAAGCTCTTTGTTGGTTCCTTCCAGTGTGGTATGTCCGCAGGGACATTTACTAGGGCTGCCCACTGGCTTACCTCCCTCCCCCTCCCTCCAGCCTCAAGTTCACCTACATGCTGTTCTCTTCCACTAGGAAAACGCTGCCGCGGTCCACAGTGTCGATTCTGGATGACCACATTAGCCACTACCCACAGCTAGAGGATCCCATGGGCTTCTTGAATGCATATATGGGCTTCATCAACTCCTTCTGAGCTGGAAAGAGTAGCTTCCCTGTATTACTCCCCCTACTCCCTTATCTGTTGTGTATTCCATTTAGAAAGCAATGCCCCAAAGAGGTCCTGGCCACCAAACACTTCTCTCACAAAGGTCCACCTGACTCACATGGTGAACAGCATATAGGACAAGCCAGTAGAGGCTCTATAAGGGTGACCTGAGAGTCCACCTCCCATTCCTCTGACATCTGATCACGTGTATGGACTTGCCTTTGTGTTATTAGGAACGTCTGATGAGCACTGCTGCTCGCGGATGCAGATACACAGAGACTTTTCTGAAATACTTAGAAGTGTAATTTTTGGCTCGGCCCCAATTGGAATCTTGTAGTAAAGAATGAGGAGAGGATGGCTGCTTCCCTCTCCTTGAGTGGCTTTAAGGGCACGTGCTTTTTTTGTTTCCTAAGCAGCTTCAGGAGAGAGTAAGTCTCCCCTGTCATAACTTTGGCTTAGTTTCGTCAGCTGCATCTAATTATAGGCTTTTTGTTAAAATAGATTTTGCTTTAAATAATGCAGCTTTACATAATGCAGTATTCTAAGTGTACTTTAAGACTGTGATTTACTGACACGTGTTATATCTATTTTAGAAGGGTACTACACCAGCAGACACTCACTCTGGCAGAGTAGTGAACCTTATTAAACATATTTGACTTCTGTATAAATTGAACTAAATCCAAACTTAAAAAAATTTCCTACAAGTCATAGGACATCAAAGACCAACCGCATCTGTGCCAGAGATTTACTGTTATTGGCTGGAAAGACGCAGTTCTAACAGCGAATAACAGTCTGCTTCTTCATACCTCATTGCTTCGAAGCACATCCCTCCTGCGCTAACGGGGAGGGGAGGGGAGCGTTGTGCAGTCCCAGTGCCCACACCGAGTGCACACGGATTCCTTTTGTTACGAGTGCTTACTTCTCACTGGTTGTGCCAGAGAAGCTTCCTCATGTAGCTCTGCCATTCCTGTACGTTACAGACAGGAAAGTTCCAGAAACTTTAAGAACAAATTCTGAAAGGCCTGTGAGCAAAAGGTGCTGAATACTTTTTTTAAAGTCACAGTTTCATTGTTTTAGTCACAGTAGGATTAGGTGATTATTTTAAATTCTTTTTTTAAAAATTAGCAACCTCAAGTATAACAATTGAAAGTGGAATTAAGTGTTTATTTTCTATTAATAAAATGAATTTTGACAAAAGTGGACTCTGCCTTCCCCTCCCCACCACCCCTCCGGGATAAAGTTTTCCAACATTGCCAGGAGCTTTCAGACACATTACAGTAAAGAATATAATGAAGTTGAGCAGCTGGGGTATAGGATAGTATTTGCTTTACATGTTCACCCAAAGCTGTACTATCACACCAAAGTCGACCAATGGAACAAAAAGGAAAAAAGACAAAAAAAAAAAAAGACATGCACAAAGACAGACGTTTGCTTGATCTGCTGGCTCAGGGCCAAACATTTAATTTGCTTCTCCAGAATCATTAATCTTTAAAAGCGGGATTCTGGGAAAATCATGCCACTAGCCTAAAAGCCCACTGACAGTGAAGTACATCAGCTTCATCTTGCCCAGTAAAAACTTATCCAACAGAAGCCAAGATAACGTCCACAGGTGTTTCCTCTCTGCTTCTGACAGTCACCTGCATGGTCACTCCATCCGCTAAGGCCAGCTTGGCCCTCACCAATAAATCATAGCCACCTCTGTATACACCTGAGAACAAAGTGAGGAAAACCATATTGAGAACTCAAACTCTGACTAGTGAAATTTATCATTCTCTGCTTGCATTTCCTTTCTATTATTTTAGTTGAGCTTTTCTAGAGATCTGTGTTTATGGTAGGAGCTGCTTCGTACATACAAATTTGAAATAACCTTTTATATTCCCATGATACCAGGTACATAGAAGGTACTCAAGAATACTGGGTTCGAGTACTCAAATGGGGGAGGTAGTGGCACTAGTATCCGTGGGAGAGATTTAAGTAAGTGTTTTAGGCCAAATATACATCTTTAAAGAACAAACAAAGCACAACATGCAAATTAAACAGCTAAGACAAACTGCTCACTGTGACAGGGCTCCACATGGTAATGCATACAATGGGACAGTGGCAGGGCATGAAATGCCCATGCATAGCCCTTCCTATTAAACTCTGCCACAAAATAAAGGGGAAATCCGCTAAAATTCCTTACCTGCCAGGTAGAGGGAATGGGAATTCTTGTTCTCGGGGACTTTCTCTGACCTTTCACATGGCTGCATGCCCAGAAACGTAATGATGTTGTTGACAGCTTCTGTGTTGACAAGATTGATGCAACAGTGTCAGAAAGGTCAGCACGGGGCCGCCTCTGCACCACTACGTGCTGGGCGCTGGGGCTGGAGGGTGGCGTGTGGGTGGAGGCCACTGGACTGGGAAGTGGCTGACTCAATTAGATGACAGGGTCCTGGCCTTTCAGGTGACTTAGTTTATGCAGCATTAAACCAAAGTGTTCTGGAATGATACATATTCCTTTAGGTTTTACACTGCTGTCAGGCAATACATTGAGAGCAAACTGTTCTCACCTTGAAGAGTTTTGGTAGAACTGAGGGCAAAAGTCTCCTGCTTCTCAAAAGTATCTCCTACTTCTTCCCAGGCAGCAGCAAAGTTGGGCTTCAGAACTTTCTGAATGTGGTCAGACACAGTCACCTCAAGATCTTCCAGCTAGTGGGCACAGGCAGGGCTCAGTAAGTGACAGTCCTTTCAGTACAGGACAAAGTGGGAGGGGCTAAGGGAAAAGGTTTTATCATTCTGAGATACATCCTTTGCAGGAGCCTAGGAAAAACTATCACCAAACTAGTTCAGTCCTGTAGTCTGGATAAGTCTAATGATGTAGGCCTTAGCAAAGAAAAGCAAGAAAATGGCCAAGCTATATTCAGATCAACATCTACACCCTTGAGGTACAAAGCCGTCACGTGGCCACACCTAACCATCAAGTTCAAGCCATCCAGGGCCTTCTGCACTTAGCATTCACTAACAGGTTGATATTTCTTCACGTTTTGCCTGCATTCTATGAAGTTATTCAGTCCTTGACGTAGCTAAATTATAAGCAAATTAAAAGCTGCTCAACAAAACAAACCCAACACTTTAAATAAAGCTCATTGATCTCGAAGAAAATCATGTACTTATTTTCATCTTGTAATTACCCCTAATATAAAGACATAGAAAAGGGTGAGTTGTTTTAATCAGGAAGTGGTCAGTCTCGCTTCCCTTAGGCACGACACACTCCCACCGCAGAGGAGGGTTAGTCCTGGCCTACACAGTTGTAAGGAAATAAAACCTCTTAGGTTCATGTCAGATATTCCTAGAAAAATGTCCTCTTCAGGCAGAAGTCAGTGTGCAAGGGTGTCCAGGTGTCTCTGGGCAGGGGACACTCACCACGTACTCATCGTCATACCCCTCCTCAGCTGGAACCCCAGTGTCAGGGTCACAGTCCCGGACAGTAAACTTCATGGTGCAGCTAAACGTGCCGGCAACTGGAGGAGAAAAGAGCAGGCAGGCCAGTGTCAGGGGGCAGCGCAAGCACAAAGTTCCCCTCGTAGCGGAGGGAGCACATCTGCACTTGGCACTGTTCTGTATCATCCAGGGAAGCTCACACCACTGTTTCCAGGGTAGAAGTTCTCGAAAGCAGCCTGTGTGCTGGTTAAAAGGCAGCCTCACAAAGTATAATTTTAAAATCCATTCCCCACCGTGGGTTAGAATAGCACAAAAATGACGACATTGGCAAAGCTCTACTTCTGTATTAGTATAAAGAAAGCAGCCGGGGAGCTACTTTGGGAGGTTTCTGCCATGCCTGTCAAAGGGGACTACATGTGGAAAATGTGAGAACCACGACTTTAGCAGCTGACAAAGCAAAGATATGGATAGTAAAAAGCACACTGATCATTAGCACAAAGCACAATAGTCTAAATATCAACAGATAATACTATTTTTAGATTGTGGGTCCACAGATCACCAGAATGAACTTGCTTTATTGTCAACTTTCAACCTGCAGTGAATAGGTCAGCAAGGACGTGCTAGTATTGGTAAAGTCAGTGTCTTAAATGCAAAAGCAAGTGGGTAATTAATATGTTTTGAGATAACTGGTGGAAGTAATAAGAAATGGAGGTAGGGGCACATTTTTGGGAAGTGAACTTCATGAAAAGTGGCCTTTCTGAACTGCCTGAAGGAGGGGATTAAGTATGGGTGAATTAATTGGATCTCAAGAGATGTGAAAGAGCTTCAGTGAGCAGAGCAAGGCACATGAGCTAAAGGGCAGAGGCCAGGAAGGCCAAGGGTGGATGGAAATAGTAAGAGATACGCTAATGAACAGGTGCTGAGAAGAGAGACTGTTTAGGAATATATTTGAAATACCTAGGAGACTAGATATTTTCCAATAGGCTCTAGTGAGCTGAGGCAGTCCTATGAAGAATAGGTCTGAATTCAGAGAACAAACGAATTTAGTAGAATACATTGAAAATGATGGTAGTGAGTTGACCCATATAGAAAGAGTTTACCTTTCAAGACTACAGAATCAATTTTTTGTTGTTAATCCTCACCTGAGGATATTTTTCCCCATTGATTTTTAGGGAGAGTGGAAGAGACAGGGCAAGACAGAAACACCAATGTGAGAGAAACACATTGATTGGTTGCCTCTTGCATGAACCCTGACCAGAACTCAGGCCAGGGGGGAGCCTACAAATCAAGGTACATGCCCTTGACCTGGGTCGAACCCAGGACCCTTCGGTCTACAGGTTGACACTCTTATCCACTGAGCCAAACCGGCTAGGGCTACAGAATCTATTTTAATACAATAGGAGGTTGATGGAAGAATGATCGTGGTTATATTAAGCTAGAATTTACTGCCAAGGAAGCAGGAAGAAGAAAGAAACAGGTGGAAGTTAACACAAACCTGGATTGGGTCAGTTGAGGTATTTAAAACAATGAAAGGAGAGAGAGGGGATTATGGTAGGGACAAAGGTAAAGATCCAATAAGAATGGAGAGGCAGGCCCAACCTGTTGTGGCTCAGTGGTTGAGCACCGGCTTATGAACCAGGAGGTCACAGTTCGATTCTTAGGGCACATGCCCTGACCAATGATTCTCTCTCATCAGTGTTATTTCTATCTCTCCCTCTCCCTCTCTCTCTGAAATCAATAAAAATACGTTAAAGAAAAGAATGGAGAAGCAGGATAGACATCAGTAATACAAGATCATATGAACCCCTGTTTGGTTTCAATTAAGCAGGGAGGATACAGACAAATGAGGAAGAGAAATAAGGAAATAAGCAGGAACAACGGTAGATCACAGCTTTGGCAAACTGGTTGAATTTTATGTACAAGTAAAGACAGAAGATGCTATGTGTAAGTAAGGGATGAGGAGGCACTGAATAAGGAAGCAAATAGGAATGCTATCAGTAGAGATGTTCCTGAAACTCGAGTGGCAAATTTTTAATGAAATGATTTTGTTGATACAATGAGAGGTCACAGGGAATCTAAGGTGAAATCCAGTAAAAACCATTGGTAGCAATCTGTCAATATTGCTAGAAAGGATGACTGACACTGGGTGATGAGGAGAAGGGGGTGGGAAGGCACCTTTCCGTGGCAAGAGAACAACTCGAACCCTTGGCCACACAAACAAAGCCAGGCAGATGATGGGAGTAAGAGAAGGACCTCCTGAAGGTCTACATTGAAACTGTCCTCAGAGATGAGGCTTTTCTTGTGAGAACTGGCTGAGATGAGAGGACCACTGAGGAGACTGGTATGGAAAGAGCACTGCCGTGTAGAAGAGATGGGTGCTGGAAGCTAAGGGGAGGGGTGTGAATTAGGCGGGGGTACAGAACCTGCGATGTGGCAAATGGCAGGGAGTTGCCAGGTCTCAACCACTGGAGGGGAGACTATTTCTAAATAAGAAAAGGAGGTTCCAGAAAACTTTGTTGGAATAATAATTAAAGAACAGGATGTGGTCCATGGGGCAAAAATCAGAAAGCGTGTAAAAGGGACAGATCTGCACCAGTCCATGAAGGTCAGGGCTGGACTAGG